GATTTTCCTTGGATATTCACATAATTCAGTCGCCTATCGAGTGCTAAACAAAAGAACAAGAAAACTGGAAGAAACATTTAATCTTACATTTGATGATTATTATATCAAACAAATTGAAAAACATTTTGAAAATCATCCTATTTTGAAAGAAATTCCTGATGAATATGAGCCTTTACAACCATTAGATATTGATTATGATTTGATTTTTGGAATTTCATATCAGACTGTTGATCCTGAAGTTAATGCCAATGACAATCACATTCTTGAATCAACGAAGTTCAATGATCGTTCAACATCACATCATCAACCAATGGACGAAAGTATACATATTAATCCAGTGGAGGGGGAGCACTTGGATTTGAACACTATTGTTGAGGGGGAGAATTCTTTCGAGGGGGGGGGGGGATGAGAGAGTGAATGTTGATGTTGAGGGGGAGCAAATTGAACAAAATGAAGATTTTCATGATCTTAATGATGCATGTTCAATTGCGGGTTCAAAACATGATGATTTATACAAAGATGCACCTTTTGAATTTGATTCAGCTTATACACCAATGGAAAAATGGACAAAAGATCATCCGAAGGAGCAAATAATTGGTAATCCACAAGAGGGAGTCTTAACAAGAGCTCAAATTCGTGCAAAGAATGAGGTATTAAATACTCATCAATAATTTTGCATGTTCAATGTCTTTATCTCTAAAATTGAACCAAAAACAGTTAAGATTGCAATGGAACACTCAGATTGGGTTGTTGCAATGCAGCCTGAGTTGTCTGAATTTGAACGAAATAAGGTTTGGAGATTAATTCCTAAGACAAATGATGTTTCGTTTGTCGGGTTAAAATGGATTTTCAAAAATAAAACCGACAAAGATGAAAACATTGTTAGAAACAAATTCAAGCTTGTTGTTAAAGAATATTATCAACAAGAAGGAATATATTACGAAGAAACTTTTGCCCATGTCGCAAGACTCGATGCTGTTCGTATATTTTTGGCTTATGCAGCTCATAAAGACTTTGATGTTTTTCAAATGGATGTGAAGTGTGCATTTTTAAATGGAGAGCTTGAAGAAATTGTTTATGTTGAACAACCCCCATGTTTTATTATCGAAGAACATCTTGATCATTTTTATATCTTAGATAAGGCAGTTTATGGTTTGAAACAAGCACCACGAGCATGGTATGCAACACTAACTTCATTTTTTAAACAATCTAAATTTAAACAAGGATCAGTTGATCCCACATTATTTCGAAAGAAAGTTGGGAATCATCTAATGCTTGTTCAAATTTACGTTGATGATATTATTTTTGGCTCAACAGACTCTGCCTTGTCAAGTGAATTTAAAAATTTGATGAAAAGCAAGTTTGAAATGTGCATGATGGGAAAAATCAATAATTTTATTGGATTGAATATTCGTCAAAACGGAGAAGGAATTTTTATTAATCAAGAAAAATACACCAAGATTTTGCTAGAGAAGTTTGGATTGACGAATAGCACAAAATTACAAGTTCCGATGGCAACTGGCATACAACTGACACCTTCGTTAGATAAACTTGCAGTTGATCTAACTCTTTACAGAAGAATTATAAATTCGTTACTTTATCTTAGTGCTAGTAGACCTGACATCATGTTTTCTATATGTAATTGTGCTAGGTACCAGTCAAATCCACGAGAACCACATCTCACTGCTGTAAAAAATAAATTTCGTTATCTTAAAGGAACAATTTCATTAGGATTGTGGTATCCTTCGAAAACTGGGTTCTTTGTTCAAGCTTATTCGGATGCAGACTTGGGAGGTTGTAGTCTTGATAGGAAAAGCACAAGTGTTGGTTGTTAATTGCTTGATGGCAAATTGGTGAGCTGATAGTCGAAGAAGCAAACATGTGTCTCAATTTCAACTGCTGAAGCAGAATATGTGGCTACTACTGCTTGTACTTCACAAATCATTTGGATTCAAAGCTAATTACGAGATTATGCAATTAATATGAAAAAGATTCCATTATATTGTGATTCTCAAAGTTCTATAAGAATTTCTCATTATCCTATGCAACATTCGAATACTAAACATATTGCTCTTCGTTATCGTTTTATCAAGGATCATGTGGAAGATGGAAATATTGAAGTACATTTTGCGAAAACAACACATCAGTTAGCTGATATTTTCACAAAACCTTTAGATGAAAAATCTTTTCTAAGAATTTTGGAAGGACTTGGAATGATAGATGGAAATTCTATTCCATGCGAAAAAGGAGACTAATGGTCAGAAAGAATTAGTTCAGAGACACATCATCAAAGAAAAAGGTTACTGCTCATAGTCAACTCTTCGAATCCTTCAAATTCGTATAATTACCATTTTTTTTAGTGTTTTAAATTTCGTATGTTTGCAAAAAATACATTTTTTTATTTTCTAAAAATCAAAAATACCAAAAAGATTTTTTTTTGTTTTCACAAATTCAAAAACAAAAAAAATATTTTTGTTCTTTCTTTCTTTTTAGTTGTTTGTTGTAGAGTTTCATACTCAATCTCTTGGAGTAGTGCTTGCAGTTCTAGGGTCAGGTATTTTTCACCGACATTGAATTAGTTAAGATGTACCTAGAAGCATGCTGCAGCATGTTGACTAAAGCCTCTAATTGACTCAATGTTCGTAAGCTTTAATAAAATTTTCATACGAAGATTTCTTCCCAATCAAGCTTAAATCACATTAGTCTTCTGAGCTACCTGTCTCTTCTCACATGAGTTAAGAGTTCATTTTTTGGTCCAAAATAACAGAGGTACATGTTCTTTCTTATACCAATCTTTTTTATCTCAACATTCTTACACTATCACACATGAAGACATATGTCCAAGAGGTTTCTGATCAAACCAATCAAAACCTAGATATATCACAAATCTGTGTTTATGATCAGACATCATGAGACCGTGATGAAAGTGAAACCCAAATCAATCAACGTTTAAGGAATTGACGGGGAACTATGTTCCAGACTTTAACGAAACATTTGTTTCTGTACCTTCATTCAAAAATCCAAATCATATTCATTTCTTATGAGTGGTCTTGATTAAACATTCGAAACCCACGATGTTTGTTACCCAACTCCAGAATACAATTTTTTTCTTTAATATCATTTAAGTGTGAGTTTTATGAGCAATTCTATGTTATTTAAAAAATTTTCAAAGCAAACTTGTCACTAACTACACTGGTCAAACAAGTAATTTCTGTTACACTTACTCACCTAATGATTAGGTTGATATGTAACGAAATTCATTAAACCACCTCAAAAGCCTTTTAAAATAAGCCCTTTGATACTTCTTTACAAGTATTCGATTGTAATTCATGGGAACACACACAAGCTGTTGATTATCTCTCTTGATAATTAACGAAGTAATCTTTTCCCGGGGTTTTAACTGCCTTCGTGTCAAATTATTTTTTTGACATCACTGACTATCCAATTTTTTTTTGTTGCTTCTCATCTATATTCTTTGAAACACTACACTCACAAAATCCTTGAGGTTCTAAGTAACACCAACTCAGGCTGATGATTTCAAAATTTTGGCAAATGACTTTACTTTGAAACCCTAAAGTAAAAGAGTTAGACCTCCATCCGAAGTGTTCCAACAGTTACTATTCCATTGGGGCAAACAATCCAGCCTATTTGAGGGGACTGTTTGTATTATGTGCGGGTTTTGAAGAGACGTGACAGTTACTTTATCACGCATGGTTACTTTTTCATCCTCATGATGCAGTTTTCTCGGTGGCACGTCACAGTTCATTAAATGCTCATACCGCTTTGATTTCAAAATCAAGAGTTACATATAAAAGGGGATTCAAGGGTTCATTATCAGTTTACGCTTTCATATTCCCAAATACTCTCTGATAAAAATCCAGCTCTCAAACCCTAACAATGGCGACTGCTGCTAATCCTGATGCAACTCTTTCTCACACCACAAATGATGTAACCTCGTTGCCAGTTATGAAGATTCAGGGTACAAATTTCCAAGTCGAGGCGAATGTTTCTCAATATCCTGAAGAACTTAAGATGCTAATCAATGCTCTTAATAACTCTGTACTGTCAAAATCCATGTTCAACTCGTTTTCTATTCCTCCTTTATGGCTCTCTCAAGATGGATCAACAGCTACTTATTCAAAAGCTTTGCATGCAGTTACGTTCAATCTGGTGACCGATAAAAAGGTTAGACTCTCAAAGAAGCTTTTCAGTCAGATTCTCGATATCCCTAATTCCCCACCATATGTCAATTTTACCTTTCCACAAATTGTACATATGTTCAATGAAATGGGTCATCAACTTCAACTCTCAAAGATAAGTGATTTCAAGAAGTCGGGTCTTCCAGGTGTTTGGAATTTTTTGTTCGGCATTTTCCTGAGGTGTTTAAGTGGAAAAACCTTTGGTTTGGACAAGGGAAGAATGGAGGTTTTTGCCATGGTAGCAAGCTTATATTATGATCTTCAAGTCGATTACTCTACTCAGTTATGGAAAGAATTCTTGAAGAGTATTGAAAACACGAATGCTCTTCATGGCATTTCGTGTGTCGATACTGGAGCTTGCTTTTACAATATTTCTATGAGAAGGAGGGGATTATGGTTCCTGCAGATGAAGAAAAAGTTGTTTTCCATGTGTATAGTTGTCTGAAGAATGCAACTAATGATATTGAAGAGTTTCCAGTTGTTGCTCGTATTCCAGATGCCATGTTGAAACGAGTTGATCCTACCAACATAGTTTTAATGACTTACTTGCAAACAATCGATACCACTGTTGAAACTGGAATTCTTTTGGCAAGAGAAGAAGAGAGGAAGCCCAATCTTTCGAAGAAGACTACTGCTGGTTCTTCTGAGAAACAAGTCAAGGAATCTAAATCTATGAAGATTCCGAAGACGTTACCGATTATAGAAGCAGAGCCAACAAAACCCAAAGTTTCAATTGCTGTTACACCATCAACTCAAAAAGAAATCATTCCTTCGAATACTAGTGTTTTTCACTGAATAAAAATGAAATCCAAATATAAGAGCCGATCTCCACTCACGAATGTTGTCCGAAAACCACAGGTTACTCATCAAGGACTTCTATTTTGTGAGATTCCTGCACCTGCTTCACCATCTTCAACGAAACAAAGGGCAACTGATATGGCCAAACATATTTCTAAGAAGAAGAAGAAGAAGAAAAGAAAAATGATCATCTGTTCTGAGTCTACTGCTGATGAAGATGAAACAATTCCAGAAACTCCAAAAGCCGATCTTCACAAAGAATCTTCTACTCCTGCACCAACAGATGTTATACCACCTGAAGAGTCGGTTGCCAAGTCAGTTTTTGAGGAGGCACGAACTTCTGACATTCTTGTAAACGTATCTAATTCGGATGCAAATGTTATCATGGGTGAGGATGCTTCGCATAAAGCTGACCAAGGTAAAACTTCGGATGTTACCTCAGAAATTGTTGTTTCTTTTCCTCCACAACTCACACCTATCATTCCTACTACTTCTACCACTGATTCTCCTACCTTCGAAAACATTATCAAACAACCAATTACATCTCTTTTTTCTTCATAATCCACTTATCCACCCACCACAACTTCACCGATTCAAGATTCTATTTTTATGGAAACTGAGCATGAATCAGAAGGTTTTAGAGGGACGTTTGAAAATTTGGAGTTTGATGAAGAAGAAACTGATTTCCCAGATCACATGCTAATGACCATGAAGCAGTTCAAGATATTGAATACAAAGTTCAATTCTATTCTTCAATCACAGGCAGATCTTGGGGGAGGTAATTCAGTAACCAGTTTAGAAGTTGATGGTCTGTTGGTATTATGAGTTGACCAGAAGGTCTTATCTGCTATGTATGAGATTGTGTGCCATGTATGAGACTATGTGCTATGTCATGTATGTATGATATATAACTGTATAGACCGGACCGGAGGGTCCAACGAGACAAACCGGGCAAGAGGGCCCAACGAGCTATGACAGGACCAGAGGGTTCAACAAGCTACAAGACTGGAGGGTCCCGCTGAGACACATTGATCGGAGGGTCGTACAGTATCCTCGAGTGGCGTATGTGTTGTATGTTGTATTTTGGGGAACTCACTAAGCATTTATGCTTACAATTGTTGTGTTATGTGTTTCAGGTACTAGCGAGGATCGTGGAAAGGCGCCGGCGTGACCCGTACACATAGAGAGATTTGATTTGTGATCTTGGGATATGTTTGAATTGATAACTAATGTGGAATATTTTCTTTTAAGATTATTTTTATATAAATTTGGTGGTTGAAAAATGAAAAAAATTTGTTTTGAAAATCTCCTCGTTACAAGTTGGTATCAGAGCCTTGGTTCGAGGGACTCGGATGCACCTTCGGGTGCATCTGAACTCAAACTGAGGATTTGAGAAATTTTCAACAAATAAGAACTTATTTTGTTTTTCTAAAAAGAGCAATAAGTTTTGAAACAACCAGAGCGGAGCAGTGTGTACGTTCAGCTAGCGTCCGAACGGTGAATCCCCAAAATACCCTTACATTATGTGTTATGAGATATGATATGTTATGTTATGCATGCTAGAGTAGACTAGTTACTTATATTAGGACTAGAGTGGCATGATTTGTGATGCCTTAGCCTAGAAGATTACTGCTGCTATGAGATGCCTTGAGAGTGAGTAGGTAGCAGTTAGGAGCTCATGAGAGGTCTATCGGAGGGTAGCCAATGCATAGTGAGAGTAGAGTACTTGCGATCCGGGATCCAAGGAGAAGGACTTGGGGTGAATGCTGATGCGGTGTGGTCAGTAGTATAGGGCCCGTACTACTGAAGACGCCGGATCAGTGAGCAGTCCAAATAAGAATCCTTTGGATATTGGAGGACGAGTAGGGCTGCTTTATCGAGTGCGATTATGCTCATCGAGTCTCTCATATATTTTTATGTTGTATTTTAGAGACATCATGGTTGGGACACGACACACACCAGGGAGCAGTGGTGTCAGCGACGAGGAGATCTGTCGATTGATTCATGAGGAGGTGGTTGCTGCCATCCGGGTCGAGATTCTAGAGATGTTCGGGGACATCAAGACGACATTAATTGAGACCTTTGATGAGCGATATGCAGCAGTGACTGAGGCTGAGGCTGTGGCTACTACAGCTATTGTTGCTGCTAGACCTCAGGGAGGTGATTCGTTGTTGTTTCGGGAGTTCAGCAACACGAAACCACCAGAGTTCGATGGGACGCAGGACCTGATTGTTGTGATGAGGTGGATCTCTAATATCGAGGGATGTTTCTACACGTGTTCTTGTCCAGAGCACTTGAGGGTACAATTCGCTTTGAACCAGATTCGCTTAGGAGTGAAGGATTGGTGGAAGTTCGTGACGGCGAGCTTCACTCTAGCAGAGATTTCTGAGGTGACCTGGGAAAAGTTCACCACCATGTTTTGAGACGAGTACGTTCCCCCCTGTGGAAAAGGAATGACTGGCTCAGGAGTTTTTGACCCTCAAGCAGGGTACTGATTCAGTTACTGTGATTACGTGGAAGATTCATAAGAGGGCGATGTTTTGCCCTGAGCAGGTGTCTATCGAGCAGGCTCGCATGAGCCGATATCTAAGTGTTCTGAGGAGAGATATTCGGGAGTTCGTGGTGAACTCGACTTACCGGAAATTTGCTGAGATCCAGGAAAATGCCCGGAAGATGGAGATTGAGTTGGAGACTCAGTCCAGGGAGGAGGCCGAGTCACAGAGGATGGACCAGCGACCGACTCAATCTCAATCGGCAGCCAAGCGGGCCAGGCTCGCTGATTCGAGATCTGGGAGCACGAAGGGCCTCACTTGTGGGAAGTGCGGAAAGAGTCACGAGGGGTCGTGCAGCGCAGGAGTATGCTACAAGTGCGGGAAGGAGGGGCATATCGCGAGTGATTTCTCCAACGGATTTTCTGTTTGCTTTCATTGCAACCATACCGGCCATCGGAAGGCCGAGTGCCCTCAGCTACATCAGGGATCAGCGTAGGGATCTGCGCCTGCTGCTAGGGCTACCGAGGTTCAGCCAGTGAAGGCCGAGGCACCAGAGGCTCATGGGAGAGCCTTCCAGTTGACAGCGGAGGAGGTCCGCGCAGCACCCGATGTTGTGGCCGGTACCTTTCTTGTGAATTATGTACCTACCTTAGTGCTATTTGACTCGGGAGCGAGTCGATCTTTTGTGACGTTAGCTTTTAGTCGTCATATCAGTATTTGTCGAGAGGCTTTGAGTCGACCTCTGTGAGTTTCTATAGCTAACGACGGAGCAGTGTATGCCACGGAGGTGATTCGAGGATGTAGACTTGAGATCTTCGGTGTGGGGTTCCCGATCGACCTAGTCCCAATTGCGATAGGGGACGTATGTGTCATAGTGGGCATGGATTGGTTGAGCCAATTTGGAGCTATTATAGACTGCGAGCATCAGCTGGTGACGATTCGAGACCCTAGTGGGGGAGTACTTACGGTGTATGGTGAGGGTACCCGTTCTGAGTCAGCATTTTGTTCGGCTGTTAGGGCGAGGCAGAGTTTATAGCAGGGCTATAGGGGATTTGTGTCCTATGTGATGGACACGCGAGTGGCCGCTAGGAGGCCAAGTTCTATTGATGAGGTCCCGATTATGCGGGAGTTCCCTGATGTTTTCCCTGAGGAGTTTCCGGGTGTGCCTCCCGAGAGACAGGTGGAGTTTCGTATCGATTTGGTGACAGGGGTGGCACATATTGTTGGATTAGTGGTGACAGGGGTGGCACATATTGTTGGATTAGTGTCTAAGTCCATAACTATTTTGGTATGCACTTGACCTGATGGTGCATGGTCCTTTTGGTTTGCCTTCACCAAAGCAACTTGATAGGATGAATTATGGAGAGAAAGGATTAAATATGATTTATTAATATATTATGAGAATAACATATTAAAGGAGAAATCATATTGTTTAATTAATATTAGTTAATAATTAATTGGTAATTAGTTTTGTGACTAAAAGAGATTAATTAAACTTAAGGGACTGGAATCGTAATTATAAGATAATTATAATTTGGGCCATGGATTGCCTTATATGATAAGGTGGATGAATTCTATGGGGAAGCCCATATGAAATCGTCCAAGGCCTTAAAGAAAAGGCTCCATGGGTTGCTTAGGGCTTAAGCATCTAAATTAGGGTTTCCTTGTTAGATAACCCCAATAGCCTTACTATATATAAGACCCTTATGACCCAAAAACGTGGCTAATGATCTTTCTAGGGTTTCACATGTTTTTGGGCAGCCTTCATCCTCTCTCCTCTTCATCCTCTTGCTTATGGTGTTTGTGAACCATTAGAGGAGTGACACTTGTGACTCTAAGCCTTCCAAAGTCAATACAAGGAGATTTGGGATTGTTATTACTACATAACAATCAAGGTAACATTATAAACCTATTATTATGTTAATATGATTATTTGTATGTTAGAATTAGGGTTTATAGTCTTGGATAACTTGCATGTACAATAGAGAAACCTAGATCCAAGCTTTAGGGTTTGTATCAGCACATAGGATGTCTTATGACCAAAACCCATTAGTGGTATCAGAGACTAGCTTGGTTTCAATTGTATTGATGCATTGTATAACTGAAAAAAAAATCGTTTTTTGGTGTTTTGGAGGCTGGACTCGCCGAGTCCATGCAGACTCGACAAGTCCAAGCCTGACTCGACGAGTCAGCTCGTCAGAAGGAGGAATCTCGGGTTTTCTTGCTGTTTTTGCATTAGGATAGTTACCTTATCATGTTAGATCAATATTAATCCAATTATATGATATATTTGACTATATTTTAGATCTAAATGAAGATATTTATCAATTTATAAGATAATTGTTTCCTTATAAGATAATTGATTAATTATTTTGAGTAAATTGATAAATTGTTTTGCAAGAAATCATTAAATAAATCAAATATGGATAATTATGTGATTAAATGTTTATTTAAAATTATTTGTTATTTGTTATTTTATCCTTGTTGTTATGAAAAGTTTTATATTTTCCCCTTTAGGTTTTATAGTTTAAATTTTAACCCAAAAGTTTTGTTGTTTTGAAATTTAAATAGTTAAAACCCTAATGTTTTGAAAAAAGGTTTCAAAACTTGCCCTCAAGTTTTGGAATTTAAATTTTGATTAATAGTTTAATTGTGATGTATATTTAAATTCTAAACCCTAATGTTTTGAAATGTTTCAAAACTTGCCCTCAAGTTTTTGAATTTAAAAGTTGATTAATAGTTTAATTAGGAATGTTAAATTCTAAAACCCTAGTAATGTTTTGAAAAGTTCAAATCACACCCTTATGGTCTTATTAATTAATTAAGGTGTATAATTAAAAGAAGTTGAATAAATCCATAAAAGTTTAGGTTAACCGTTTAATTGAATTAAAAGTGTAATTGTTAAAGTTAACCACATAGTATTTTAAAAGTGTAAAATACACCCTATACTATATATAACATTAAAAGTCTAACATTATATATATGTATGAGTAAAAGTCAGTCTTACCGTTAGTAGGCCTCATTCACGAAGCTAGTCTATAAGGGGTGTTTAAGGAAATTGCCTATAAA